CACAGCTACAGTACTACACAGCTGTACTGTTTCAAGTCCAATATTCTCCAGGACTCAGGCTGCTGTCCTGGGGTTTCAGCTTCAGAGGTCCAGCTCTGTGACTCTGACTGTTGTCTGTGCGCATGTGCTGAACAGCTGGGTGCTGTATGTCATATACAGATTTATAGCGGTATTATGGTGGACACCACTTTAATGATGACGTCAGTGGCTGTTTCCATCACAGTCGTGGTGCGCAGCCGCAGAGACAAAGTTACAAACGTATAACTTTTACACTCACAGTGTGCTGTAGCCGGTGCATCACTCCTGCCGCGAGCGCAGAGACAGCCCGGTCCCTGAACCTGCTGTTACCGGATGAAAACAGGAAGTGCAAAGACGTAACGAGCACGCGCTCACACATCCGCCTATTGTTGGGTTACCTTAAACAGCTACGTGCACACCTGCAGGCCTGGTCTTCATGCAGTCACCATGTCACAGCTGGCGTGAACTTTTTGGCTTTTTCCCCTGCGAGGTAAGCGGTTTCCATGGAAACCGTGCGTCGGCTAAATTGCTCCCCGGCTACAGCGATGACATGGTTCCTGTTTACTGCTGTGGGTTCACGACTGTGTGCGATGTTGTGTTTGGTATGAGATGACAGATGGGCGATGAGGACAGTGGAGCACGGACTTCGTGTTCTTCTAGAAGTGACAGCTCGGAAGTCCCATTACATTAATACATATAACAGTCATGTCCCACCTGCAGTGATCAGTGCTCAGCATCACGGAGCGCCACCCTGACATAGTTCTGATGGAGCACGGTGTTGTGCCAAAAACTGATTTCCAATGTTTCTGTGTATTTTTTCTGTGCAATATCTTTACGTATGTTCGTAAACAGACTTCGGCGAACACGGTTTACAAAGGGGTTATATATAGAATTTAAAAAATTATCTGTTTTTCAAGTATCTTTACAACTCTGTGTTATTGTACTTAACCAATCCGGTCCTTTATCCTCACTTAAAATATTTTTACTGAACTATTGTAATATCTGCTGCCGTTTCTGCTGTCCTGTTGGCCAGCTTACTCTTACAAAAGACATTTTAATGGTAATGAGATTTTTTTAACTGCATAAATAAAGGTTACGTAAAAGTCATTGCCGAAAACTGATTGCGGCTTCTACCTTGTTACACGAATGTTGTTTGTGGCTCAAGATGACTTTCAGGGGTGTCAAACTCAAATACACACTGGGCCAAAATTCCAAACTGGGCTAACATTAATATTTATTGAAAAACAAATCTTCCTCTAGATATAAGAATGAATCTTTTCTTATGAACTCAAACACGCTTTGCTGAAAAACTGAATATGGAACAAACAAAGCTTAATACTAAGCAATATATATATTAGCTGTATAATACCAGTAGGCCAGCTCTAATAGGAATTTGGTATGGCTTCGCGGGCCAAATGTAATTAGGCTGCGGGCCAAATTTGGCCCACGGGCCAGAGTTTGACACCTATGCTTTATGTCATCCATAAGGGATGCATTTAACATATGTTTCACATATTATAGCCCAATAAGTTACTTATAACAATTTAAATACGAGCAATCAGTTTTTGGCAAATACCGGAAATCAGTTTTTGGAAGACGATCACTTTTGGGACAGCACCGGCGTCATCAGGAGGAGTCTTCTGAGCTTTGTTGTGTTGGTGCTGGTACAGATCCCTGACTTGGAGCGGAGTCCGGTTTCCTGCAGTGTGGATCTGAAAGCGGGGCGTGGTTTAGGCTTTCCGTGTGCGCGTCATGCTTCAATAAAAACGAACAACGGACGCGCGCTCACGCGAGGAAGTCCAGCCGCGAGACGCAGACAGCATCTCAGCAGGTACGTGATCGATGAGCGATATTTGTTTCATTTCACAGTCTGCTGTGATTGTCGTCATCACTGGGTGCTACAGGTGGGGCGCGCAGCGACTGCTTCACAGTTTAATACAAGTTCAAATAGACTTTAAACTCTCAGAGTGATGGAGCTCAGGTGTATCTCAGGTCTGCGTGATGCACTGAAAGCTGAAGCTCTTATTGCTCCAGTCAGGCGCATGTGTGCCCAGCTGCATGCATCACACCAAGTTTAGTTTTTGGTCATTCAGTCTATTAAAGCGCATCAGCACAATGTAGAAAAGCATATATGGGACATGTAGCTACTGAGAATGTACTCTGTGAACACTGGCTCGTTCCCCCCGTGTGAAATTATGGGAAGCAGCACAAAAGTAGGCGATTAGACAGAAAGTGTCTGCTCGTGTCCTGAGTCGCTGAGACTTCAGCAGCTACATAGACGTGCAGCGTTTTCACCAGGTTGACTCGTCCGTATCTGACTGATTTCAAGATAATAATAATAATGCTGTTTGGAATAACCAACTTAGTAATACATTTCTTGTATACATCGACACCATCTTGCTGTTGCACTGCCGGTTTCCACTATATTCGCCGCACATACAGCGACTGTATCACTGATACCGGTTTGTGCCAAAAACTGATTTGTTTCCGTGAGTTTTCTATGTGTAATATCTTTACTTATGTTCGGTGAGCAGGGTTTACAAAAGAGTTTTATATCAAATTTAAAGGTTCCATGTTTTTCAAGTATCTTTTTGACTTTGTGTGATTGTACTTACATTATAACCAATCCGGTCTTTCTGTCCACTTAAAATATGTTTGCAATATCTGCTATCCTGATTACTCTTAAAAAAGATATTTTTAGTGTCAATGATTTTTTTTTAAAACTGCATAAATAAAAGGATATATTAACGTCACTGTCACTGCCAAAGGTCGTGGTATTCTACTGGTGGTGCCTACTGGTGGTGGTCAGAGGTAAGCTGGTGGTAAGCTATTCATCTTTATCACATTTATCCTGTCACTAAATCCTAACGGATATGTATTCCATCTTTCCATATCCTGCCTTATCCTGTTATTTATATGTCCATAGTTACTTTGATATAGTTTGGCATAGTTTTTGGTTATATTTATACCTAAATATTTAAGGGTTTTTGCCTCCCAC